AATAAATTGTTATTTACTTTCAGAAATAAATATGTTAAATTAATATGTTTTAGGTAAACACATTCCTAGCAAAAAATCTCGATCAATTGTCAGATTCTGCATTTACAATACATGCAATGATAGAAGAACGAAAAACTTCTCTCGAGGATATCGCAAAAATAATTAAAAAGTTGCTTGTAGTCAGAGAGTCGGAAAAAATCAAACTGGAATAATCAATTGATCCAATAAAATCTGATATACATTTACCTACGACATAAATAGTTCTAAAATATTATTTTTATTGTTGTCGCTTGAATACAATTTTTCAACTATTTTTTTAATTATTTTTTAATTATTTTAATTATTTTAATTATTTTTAATACGTTTTAATATTTTTATAAAATTTAATATTTTATTAATAGTCTGGAAGCTATTGATATATCATCTTAAAATTATATTTATATGTTAATATATTAATTTTCTGTAATTGACAAAATTATAATAAGAATTTAATCCGCGTTTCAGTGCTTTTTTTACATTCCATTGTTCAAATCTACGCTCCTTAAAACTTTGCTTAAGCTTTTGTCACTCTTCCCTTACATTCAATTTGCTCTACATTTTATTTTCGCCAAGGTTAATGTTAATGTTAATTTTTTAAAGTACATTGAGATATATGTACTAAAACCTTTATAAACAAAAATATTCTTTAGTCCTCTAGTCTATTGACACAAATGTAGAATATACTCATGTAACAATTACCGTATTTATTATAACATCGAATATCGACGTTATTGTAGTATTCGATGATTCTTTGAGATAAAAAGACAACAATCGTAATTACACTGATATCTATAAAATTAATTACTGAAGCCAAAACTAGATAGAAAAAACTATGTGGGCGTTAGATGGGAAAAACTGTGTTGGAACTAGATGGGAAAAACTATGTGGGCGTTAGATGGGAAAAACTATGTGGGGAGAAGATGGGAAAAACTATGTGGGAAGAAGATGGGAAAAACTATGGGGAAACTAGATGGGAAAAACTATGTGTGAAGAAGATGGGAAAAACTATGTGGGAACTAGATGGGAAAAACTATGTGGGAAGTATAAGGGAAAAACTATTTGGGAAGTATATGGGAAAAACTATGTGGGAAGTATATGGGAAAAACTATGTGGGATGTATATGGGAAAA